TTGTCTCACCTATCTTGACTTTGAACCACCATGACAACTAGGTGGAATCTGTGAGTGTAGCTGAAGTGACAAGTTTGTCCATTTAATGTTATGTCTCACACCCTGAAGGTACCAACAGTTTTTGGCTGATATGTCATTTATAATTTATTGCAGGACTTGAGTAAATATACTACATATTACAGATTTAACAAGATGATTGGCACAGATGACTTGTTATTGAATCAAGACAGACATTGTGATGGAAAAATCCTTTGTGCACTCACTGCCAAAAAAATCCTTTGGTAGTTTCCCTAATTAGCACCGTTAGCTCTGAGTGGCACCAGAGTTAGGACGTACTGCAAAGGGAGAGGACTGGAGCACGGCAGACGGCAGTGCAAATAGCTAAGTAAACTCTCCGCTCTAATAACGGGATCCTTCTGCCCTGAGGTTAAACAGATCCGCTAATCACTCCCTTTGTTTGGTTTGGGCTTTGCATTCATCTAGGCGGCACATGGCGCGATGGACCTCTGCATTTGCAGTTCGGCTGTTTCTGTGTCCCTCAAGCTTAACCGTTTGGCAGATGTAGAGACATCGAACCACTGATAATAAGAGTGATGTCTACATTAGTCCACATACAGACTTAATAAATGCTGGCACTTGTCCATGCATGTTTAGTGATGTGTTATCTGGATTTCTCGATCGACCCGAGCAGGCAGTTAAACAGAAAACGTTTACCAGCAGACCATGCACATAGATCCATCATGTACAGTATATTGGAAGCATATTCCCAGATATTCTAAAGAGTCGGTGGAAGATTGATGTGTCAGCCTATAAATGGGCTGACAGCCAGCCTTTCAGACAGTTACATAATCAAGGCTTTTTATCCAGACTCATGCCCCCCTGCTGGGATGTTGGCTGAGAACAGATAATGAAGAGCCAGTGTAGATGTCCACTGAGATCTATGACCAGGTTCAGACGTGGAGAAGCAACCCCTCCCTCCTCCCCATCATAATGCTGATGCTGCAATAAAGCAGCAGCCCACACTCGAAGGAGGGCCCTGGCAGCTGCAGTCAGGGGGCACAAAGTACTAGGAAATTGCATTACAGACGTTCCCTTCGGAGTATTTAAAAATGGAAACACTGGAAGACTTGTTTTATTGCTTATGCTTTCGATGAGGTTTCTCCAAAGCGCTTCCGACAGTTCATAGCAGTGTGAACATGTTTTTGTAATAAGACAGTTAAAACGGCACTCGTAGGGGGACCTTGTGCAGATGCAGAAGTCATCAGACATAAAACAGCAATTTCAGAGGGGTATTCTGAGGTGAAGTTGCGATAAGTGAAAATGTGATATGAATGGTTTCATCTCTGTGGATATCAAATGTAGCCTGGCGAGCACCTTTTCTCATTTTCCTTAACCTGCATGCTACATCTTTCTTCTGTGTGCAGTCCTACTTAATAGAATTTGACTATATTGCTATGCAGAGGTAACCCACAGTGAACCACATTTATAATAAGAGCAAGACCATTTGCAGAACCTTAGAATGGTTGAAGCTTCATTCTGTGAGTCCGCTATTACAATGTGCCATATGTTAGGTTCAAAATGTGAGTACTGTTGATGGTCCTCTTTGACAGGACACAAATTGAGTTGCATTTAGGCTGCAAAGAACCATTATTTTTATTCTTGGAACAGAAAATCTTAAAAAACCATCAAAAGAATATAAATAAATAAAAAAATCAATGGACTTCTCTTTAGATAAGTCTTCAGACATTATTCCACTAGTCAACAATTGTAGGCATAGACAATGAAGAAGAAAACACAGGACAATCTAAAATGGACAATGTAAAATATTCAAACAACTGGGTTTGCCAATGAGAGAGAGATGAGGAAGACTGAATGTTTACATAATTTTGTTGACAAGAAATCTCACCTTTAAACAGAAGAATGTTTTGTAGTCTGTTTGATATAATCAGCAGGTTTGTCAGTCCATCCACTTGAGCTACAGTGGTTGCTGGTTATTCTCCACCTCCATTCCATTCTCCATACTGTTGCTAAAACTGTCTCCAGTTACAGAGCAGCTTTTAAAATGTCTCTTCAGATGCATATTGGTTGCTACAATCCTTATTACTCACCGAAGCAGATGAACAATCGATTTAAAGATCTCTCACCTAGTGTATTTTACAACCTTCTTCCCCCACAGGTTGCCAGTCTGAACATTGATTGAAATTGAGTGTCAGGAATCCAAAACAGACACCAGCCGCTGTCAAAAAATAAACAAATAAAGAAGAAAACTGTAATCATTGAGGAATAGACTAACGACCACTATTTCACTATTTTGGATGAACACTGCAAAAATCTGGGAGATACGTTTCAAGATAGACCACCCTGGTGTGTACTAACACATATCTATAAAATTAGTTTTCAGTTGTGTAATCAGATGTAAATGTGATTTGGTTGGCAGCCCAGCCAGCTCGCAGGCTTCAAATTTAATATGTATCTTGAAGGTACCTGATTACGGGTGTGAAAACAGGGGGATGAAGAACAAAATCTGATTGTCCACGCAATAATGGGGATAAATTAGTTCAGTTCGGAGATCCCAGACATAGAATATAAACTATGATATTTGTGTAGTTAAAAGAAATCGCACTGAAACAGTAGTAAGTCACATTCCTATATATTTACAGGGCTTAGATGGATTTTATGGTCCACGAGCAGTTCAGCAAGCATGTTCTCTACCAAACATTTGCTGCTCCTCAGTGATGACAGTCTGCTGTGCAGGTCAGTCACTTTATTTAATAAGAGTCCCCCCCTCCCCAGAGGCTGAGGTAATTCTTGGGAGATTAAGGTGATAGAGTGTGGATAAAAACAGCTGCCTGGGTCAGGCTGAGCCCAGGGAGAACATATACTGTTTCTTTATAACCTTGATGGACGTTTTCATTGTCACACACATACAGTGAGTTCACTGCTTGGAGCAGCAAAGAAACTCATCTCAGGCCATGGCACCCTAAAGCCAATCATGGTGCAGTAGATCTCATCTGTACATGCCTTACTGCGCATTTATTCAGAATTCTCAGATTTGCTCATGGGGGAATTAACTGCCCGCTGGCGTGGGAGATTGCAATCCACGTCCAAGGCTGCCTATTAGATATTTTAAACTCTTATCATCATCTGACAATTTTATGAATAATTTTCATCATCTTATAATGCGGCAGAATTGCTAGGAGCCTTCAAATCCTCTTCCAACATGATTAGGGAACATTGAAGTACACTTATGTTTATGCAGTGTCTGATCAGACTAACGGCTTTTCCTATTAGCATAATAAATGAATTAGAGCACCAGAGACAAAGATCATTAGGCAGATTTTCACCATGGGGAAATCATTTGGACAATGTATTGTCTAACAATGTGAGACAACAGTAATGCGTCACACAGCCGCAACCTGTATCATCCCCCAGCTTTCCCCAAATCCTTCACTCACTAAGGCTCTGCTGGTGTTTGCATTCTGCCCAAACAACCTTCATTTCTTCAAGGCAGCTGTTTCGTTTCAAATGCGCGAGCTCTGTGATTTCTCTGCTGGCTCGTGTTCTGTGATTAGTCATAACAGTGAATGGCATGCTGCAGACAGTAATGGCTAATGTGTCTGTGCCGTGACATGCCATAAACACAAGTTGTTATCATGAAACTGCATCTCTTCACCAGACTGACTTAGTGTACTAAACACTGTAGCCTCAGGGTTTATCCCTTTATCAGCAGTTCCCGTCTTTCCTTCAACTTCTTCAGCTCAAGTCTGCCTGCAGTTCAAAAGCAGGTGTGACATTGTTTCGTTCTTGCTCTTCATATGCTAAAGACATAAACAGCGGCTTGTTAAGAGTTGTTTTTAATAAGCATGCAAGGCTTAGGTAAATAGATTTCTAAACTGCTGTGGTTCCTGCAAGGTGCTCTGGTTGAAATTTGCATTTAAACATGAGGTGTTCCTGTTAGTGGCTCATCTGGAAATATGAGTGAGAGTGCTGCAGCACTCTGGGATAATGGTCTCACAGGGCTGTGGCTTCGAATAACAGAGAGCACATATAGTGAACTTAGGCTACAGTCATTTACATTGGAGGCGGTCAGAGCCATCATCATTTTCTTTGATTGTCGTGCAGGGTGTGTACATTATGTATATTGGGGGTTTCAAGTCTGTAGGGATTGAGGACTCTAAAATGTACGTAGTGTGAAACTTAAATCCAAGGCCAGCTCTGTGTAGCTGTTCTACCCTTTAAAACTGCATGACTGGCTTCTGAACATAGATGGCCAGTCCAGAATCCCTAAGGAAACACAGAGATATTGGATGATTCTGCCTTGCACAATTTATGCTACAGCCAAAATCAACATTATTCAGTGACAATGCAGGAAATGATGTGCTCTTAAAAGGACACAGTGAAATTAAATATACATTTTCCAATCTATACATATACATTTAGTACATTTATTCTAATCCTGTTACATGCTAAATATGTGTCAGAAATTATGTTTGGGTATTTTTACATCAAAATCATTTTTTTTTTTTGCTGTAAAATGTTAAAATATTTTTGAAGACTCACTTTGAACTTGGGGCGGTTTTATACATTAATTCAATCGACCATTAGCTAATGAGAGCTAGAAGACCAAGACCACTCTCATGTCTTTCTGTTACAGCGTGGAGATGGTTAGCTTAGCTTATTGTAAAGAGTGCAAAACCCCTTGTAAAACCATAACGTGTTGTCTATACAGTCAGCTTTGTATGGATAAATGTCAGAGATATAATGTGGAAATGAGTGAAGGAGCATTCTCCGACCTTAACCTCACTGTGGTTGCTTTGCACAGATATTTTTGAATATTATGAGCCGTGGCATTGAATATGTAAAAGTGTCATCACTGAACATAATCAGGGATTTTGAACAGCATGCAATAAATGCGTTGGCAAAAGGTTTTGGGTTGACTTGAAGGAAGCACATTACTTGCCCATTGCTCATCCTCATTTACATTTCTTCTTTTTTAACAGTGGCCATGAATATTAACCATGAAGCTGGAGCCAGACACACCCATTGCTTCTTTCTGTCTAAAAAAGCCTCGCTGGTGCTACATTGAACACAAACACCCTGAATATGCTATCCAAGTGCGAGAAAGCCCAACGGACTGCTTAACACCCGCTGTAAGTATTACACACTCCAACTCTGGAGTGATAGCTTTTGAGTGTTTACTCACACCAAGTCAAACCCCCAAAGAGATAACCTATTACTACAGCTACATTTTCTGAATTACTGGTAGTCATTTTTCCAAATGATGCCCCCTATGTTCAAATAGCGTAGTAAGGTTATTGCACCCACAGTGTCTTTCATTTTATTTGAAAAAAGTTATGTTTATCTTGATATATGATTTGACTTTGCTGTGGGTCAGTGCTCTCAATGAATTTCAAGTTACCCTGAAATCTTGTCAGACTGCAATTTATGCACACATAAATGACATATTTACATATTGCATACCTCCCCTGAAGCCGAATCACTTCACCGAACCTGGCAGGTAGCATTAATTATCCTAAATGTATTCATCATACATATGAAAAAATGTGGTCATTATGCACACAGGCAAAGAGATATGTACAATTATCTGCACTGAAGCTTTATGCTTATGGTTGTATAACTGGATCATTATTACATTACATGTTTTCTAACTCGTTTTTACTTCCATGGTGTTACGAGAGTACATCAATAGATACAAAAAAACTCTTGTGTGAATCCTCACAGACTGTATGTATTGTGCTACAAAACTTGAACATAGAAACAGTGTAGTGTTCATAGAGTCAGGAGGACTTCTCAGGTAAGTCATTTATGGTCAAGCATATTAAATTGCTCCAAAGCTCTGAGAACAGGTCGATCAGTCAGGCAGTTGGTTGGTCAGTCCGCCACTGTAGTCCAGACTGAAATAACCACTGAATGGATTTCCATAAAATTTGGTACAGATTAACATGTTCCTCAGAGGATGAATCCTATTTTTACAAACATACATGTTCCCTCAGGATGAATTATAAAAACTTTGATCCCCTGACTCTAGCAGCATCATCAGGCCAACATTTGAGTTTGTCCAATACTCTGTTTTATGAACAAACTAGCAAAACTAATGACATTCCCATCAGTCTAAATTGGAATTCTGTTTTTTGCTAATTAGTAAATGTAAGCATGCTAACATGGCAGCGAACATGGTTCATGTTATAGCTGCTTAACATTATGATGTTATCATAGCGTTAGCATTGACTTTAACAGTTTAAGCTCAAAAGTACCACTGTGCCTAAGTCAAACCTTACAGAGCTGCTAACATGGCTGTAGACCTAATCTTGTAAAAAAAAAAATCTAAACTTTATATCAGTTAAAATAGTGTGAAGAATTTTGCTGATTCAAATCAATTCACTACAAGGTTCATAGTGGGATATTTTTAAACCAAATGATTACACCAGTAAACACATTAGTGAGCCATCTCATGTCTTGTACTGTGTCTGTGATGTTCAGTTTAATAGCTCATAAAACACCCATTTGCAACACTGCAATTACATAATGATTGTTTCTTTGGACTTCTTGCACTCTGTCAATTGTATCGTGGCTCAATTGACAATGACTTTCTGTCACCAAAGATTCCAATGCAAAAAGCTACTGATTTGGTTAGTGACACTGTTGATTGAGCACAATGCTTTAACGTTGGGTGGTGGCTCCAAAACTTGCTCCATCAGCCTCAAAACATTTTTACAAATTTGTGGTTCATCTTCAGAAGTTTCAAAAGCCCTCAGATCAGGTGTCTCTCTGCCAACCCAGACAATCTCTGCACTCAAAAAGGATGCCATGTATAGCAATGTGCGAGCACTTGATATCAACAACCTCACTTCTCTCTGTGTGAGTGTGTGCGGACATTATCAGCAGACATGGCATCTGCACGTACACACACACTCAAACCACTGTTTGATGCTGTTCCACCAACAACACTGTCAAGAGCTCTCCCTTTTCATCATAGCGATGCTGTCCAAAACCATATCTCAAATGGAGTTGCGGCTCTTTCATTTCACTGAGATTGAGATTGTGTGTACATGTGTGTGTGTGCGCATTTGTTGTCTAACTGCATATCTGTGTCTGTCATTTGAGACTTTGTTTCTTTGTGTACGTGTTCTTGTGTCTAAGTGACTGTATATTCATCTTTCTACTTTTTTCCCATTGCATGTTTGTGTGCACAACACCCCCAAAGGACTGTTAGGTCAGTTCCGTGTCAGGCCAGCCAAATCGCTGGCACAGATTAACAGGAGAGGGCAGCGCCAGCCTTTGAGGGCAAGAGTAGTGGGAGCAGTCGCACCAATTAGGAGCCGGCAGCCCGACCACCCAGCCCTACACTCACCCTGGCTGGCTCGAGATAACAGAGCCGACACACATGCTGAGACAGATAGGCACGCACGGGGATGCGCTCGCTGCATACCCACTCCTAACTTGGTAGCTAATACATATGCAACACCGTACCAAACATCATCCATTAGCTGCAACAGGGGCCTGAGTGTGCTGCTAGAAGTGTCAAATATGCATGAGGGAGTGGAGGTCTGTGTCTCATAATCCTCTAGGCAATTAATACAATCGTTTCCAGGGCCAAGCACCTAGATGCACATATCAAACCTCTCCCTGGGCTTGCTGAATTTTTTAGGCAGACTAATTTACAGGTACGTTGGCCAGAGGCTTGCTTTTATGGATTGGAGCCGTCTGGAAACCGACGGCAGGCCATACATTGAGAATTGTCCACAGTGATGTATGAGGCTGTGGGGACAACATATTCACAGTGGAAAACACTGCTGGAAAAGCTGTGTTTAAAAGATAAAAAAGCCGTCTGTTCTGCTAATTGTATTGTAGCACTAATTGAGCAGTGATGTGGCGTTTGATTTGCTAAGCTGAGTTAATATACGCTTCTGTCCAGCAAGTGAGTTTTTGTTTTCACAGAAATTACTTTGTGTTTGAGACTTGAATCATTTAACATTTACACCACACAAGTGTGGTATTTGTAGTATGTACTGCCATAAAGAATTGCGTTTTTTCTTAATATTTCCAACAGTTTTCATTGCATTACTGTTCCTGCAGAGTGCGTCGTTGTCTTCAGTATATTGTAAAGCATTTAATTCAGCCTCGCTTTTTGTTGTTGCTTCTGCAGATGTTTTTAGCCTCCAGTCAGATATTGATTGAAATGTTCAGCCTAGTGTGAGGAGGGGGGGCTGGTATTCAGAGGCATTCGGGTGGTTGGTGGGGAAGCAGTATTGATTGCACTTAAAGTGACAAGATTGAGGAGGCCCACTTTGACACGTTATCCCTATTGCCGCCAACAGACAAAGTGCGGGCCAGAGGAGCAGTGCGGATTGATTTCTGTGATCATGAATGGCCTGAGACCTATGAATCAGTCGTCCAAGGTATGCTGCTTGAAAATAAGTCAACAATTTTTCATAGCGTTGTGGTAATGTAAGGACTGACAGCCTGTTTGATTTAAGAGGACAAGTAAATACTATGGTAATGAATAGGCCTCATACACATTCTGACAAGCTGAAAAGTCCTCACAGCTCTGGCAATAACCCAGTGTGTAAAGCACATAGACTGGTAGTATATTTGAGAAGGCAGGTATTGCGGGCATCTATGGGATTTTGTTGTGCATAATTCACTGGCGAGGCATGAAGCTGATATAGCCTCTCCCCCTGTTATGACCATCCATCAGGTAAAATTGCTTTCTTCTAACATTAGGTTGTCAACGAGAAATAACAAATGTAGCCATGCAGAGCAACACATGATTACAGGGTAATAATGCCCTGAGGTCAGAGGAATGTGACCTCATTCAGAGCGGCTTGTTGAAGGGAGCAAGTGAAGTACTGGTCATGTCAGATGACGAGTCAGCGGGGAGCGGCTCATCTTCATCTCAGGTTCCACGCATTTCCGTGATGTCTGTTTTTCAATTATTGCAATTCTTAAATGAAACACAAGATTAGCTGGGAAGCAGGGAGGAGGGTTCAAAAGCATGTCAGGAGTGTGATTGAAAGAGTTTACATCACCCTTGTTTCTGGTGGGCTCTTTGACCAATGCTCAAAAACTTCTCTCGCCAATGGTGGAGGGCTATTTCAAGCCTCACATTTGCTCTGATTGATATTGTGTAAATCCATCACTATAATCTTCCAGGAAATTGCACAGGCGTTTCCAGAGGTCTAATCGAGATATGGGTGCACTCACAGACTGAGTAGGAGTGAGAATGAGGAGGGAAATTAAGGAGAGGCAAGACAGATGGAGGAAAGACCTGCACGACTCAAGATGGATATTTTAAAATCTGAAAAATATATGTAGAGACGGTTGGCTAGAGCATTGTGTGTTTTAGGGAAGGGAAAGCACACAATTAATAAGTGAGCAACAAGATAGAGTAGCTGAATGGAGGGAAGAGAAAAATGTTTGTCATGCTTCCGTGATCTTAGTTTCTTCCATCCCAGTGTTCCCCTTCCTCTGTGTCGCCTGCAGGTCTCTGGTATGTGCTGCATAGCCAATTACCCATGAAAATGAGAGGGAGAAAGCCGGTTGCAAGTGATTAACACACACTAAACAACAAGCACCTACTGGACTCTTAAGCAGACATGTTGATGCACATGGAAAGAAAAATGTTCAGTATATAGTAAAATAACTTGTATGACGAAATGTAATGCTATAATCTGTCTTAGGACTCTATTTTTATGTATTAGAGAATTGAAGCACCACATTTTAGCCCTCACTTAATGTTGTGTTAAAAGACCAGTGTGTAAGATTTAGTGGCATCTAGCTGTGAGATTGTAGATTGCAGCCATCTGAAACCCCTTGCTTCAATGGTGTAGCAGAAACTATGGTGAACCTTGGGGGAAAAGGCAAAAGGCCCTATCTCGAGCTCCTTCTCATAAAAAAGGCTCATTCTAAGGTTTTCAGGTGATTTTACACGAAAACATGAAACAATGAAAACATACCAATGTATATTACATTCAATTTTGGCCAATAGATCTCCCTAAATCTTGCACACTGAACCTTTTAGTCAGAGAATACAAGGGCAAAATTAAACTGGGGAACAGGTTTATTGGTTGGATTGTTTTTCCCTTTACTCAACATACAGTGAGTGTTATAATAGGAGGTTCGGCACAAG